GTGTTGCTCGTTTTGTGTTGGGTACTGCACCGACGAAGTACGGCTGACGCCAGTGGACTTGGATCCTGCGGCGGAACAACCGGACATTCCTCCTCTGCCTCGCATATGTAATCTTCGCTGGAGGTGTGCGTAAATAATGCACTGGCGCTTTTTTCGAGGTGCTCTTTCAACTGCTTTGCCGCACTAACCGCATCAGGGATGGGGCTCGCACGCCCCTGCAGCAGCGCGTGCATTATTTCCATCTCCGTGCCGTCGGCATCGTCCCGCAAAGAAACCCGCTCGTTGATCCCAGCTGCTGTTTCGGCAGCAACGGCGCGAATCATTTCAAGTTTCTCCGCAGGGGAAAAAAGTTTACCGTCCCACGGCACCGTCACACTACACAACACCTCCGGCTGGTTCTCCTCCACCAGTAGGGCCCGCCAGAGTGTCACACAAAACAACAGCTTGCGAAGGGGCACCTGGCTGGAGTACTGTTGTGCTGAATGAAAGCGAAAGAAATCCATTGCCCCACATACCCACCAGGCGTCTTCCCCCTCTGCCAGCTCCTAATGAGAACAAAAAGACATGCATACAAAAAGAAATAAAAAAAGAATAATCTTCCGGGCAGCTGGCCGGATCCTGAAATTATCCATGGAAACCAAACAAGTTAGGAAAAAATGGGTTAGTTAGTTAATTGCTTCAATGTTTTCTTTTCATTCAGTATATATAGAATTCTGTGGACCATTAGCATGGTCCTTTGTCCTCAGTTAGGATTTGAATATTATTACTTACGAAGTGGCACACTTTGGGGTCCTCCAACCACAAGACCCCGCCGCGTGGTGGGAATCAAAAGGGGGTGGGTGGGATGGCAAAATAAAAGCAAATATTATCCGGCCTCTATCGGCTCCCTGCCCCTACAAAGTCGCGTTCTTCCCAAAAGATTCATACGGTGGAGAGTATCATAAAGAATGCCTTCATTTATCAGGGTGTACATACATTAATTAAGCTAGCCAGCTCTCCCGCGATCCTTCTTCTCAAAAGCTACTAAAAAAATTATCAAAAGCCATAAGAAATCACACAATCCCAACAGCACCATCGCCCACTCGCACAAGCACACACGCATCTCCCCTTTCCCCTCGCATGGAATCAATCCAAAAATAAAATGTCCACATTACCTCACAGCAATTGTGGTCATTCTTAATTCGCCCCATCCCCCACGTACTGGTAGAGGTGCAAATTCTGCAACTTCACGCGTTTCCACCTGGCAAGAAATGGCACCTCCCAGCGGTTTGACACAAGAAGCGCAACACGAGAGATTATCTCCAGCAGCTTCTCACGAATGGCCTCTAACCCCTCCGGCAGCAGGTACACAAACAATACGTGGCGGCTGGATTCCGACAGCGGGAAGTATTGCGCCGCATCCAACTGGCGCACGTCCACAGTCTCAAAGACGCAGTGAAGACGATGCGGTGGTGGCACAATTATTGCCTCCGCTCGACGCCTCGCTGCAAGGATAAGTTCCTCGTCAAGGTCCAGTCCGACAGCCGTCAACTGCAGGGGAGAGACGTCACGGCAACCGCTGGCACCCCACAACGTGAAAAGCCCCGCGCTCAGAGACAGCAATGCGCTCCCGTCCCCGCATCCGAGGTCCGTGAGCCGAAGCGCACCGCCGTGCTGGAATCGAAGCAGCGGCGAGTCATTCAGCCACGCCGCAAGTACCCTCAGCGTGTCGTCACCGCTGGTTAAAAATGGAGAGATGAAATTCCCGTCATCCCATTGGAACGGAAGCTCCATTTTTATATTATTTTTTTCTCACCTTCATCACCCTTTTGCTCGTTGCGTCAAAGCCTCCGCCGCCACACCGCAGCCAGGCCAGGTCTGGATAGAAACAGAAATAGATTAGAAAAATAAAAAAGACACGCAAA